GAGCTCATTGATCGCTGTCTTAGACGCTATTGATCCATCTCGCTATCGCTGCTGGAATCCACTCGATATAGTCCTTATTTCGCTCCAAATAATACAGCACATCTTGTAACCGGCATCATCGATCCGCTTGCTGTCTTCTGGTCGCACTGACCGTCTACAGAATGCACCGTGCAATAGTATCAGTGAGACAAGATCGATTACAACCATGAGTGGTAAAACCCACAACAAAACCATCTCACACTTGATTGATTACCTGCGTGCGACAGTCAACTGTTTGAGACCTTACGTTGGTGTTACAGTGTTTAGCTGTCTTCCTTGATCCATAATTATTGCATTGCTTTCTCATTTACCCTTCCTCTACCTACACTAAAACCTCAAAAGTTGTTCACCTCTATATATTGACAGCCTCTAGATTGATCACTTTTCCTTAGCTTGTACGGTCACTATGTAATTTCGATGGACCCAGACCTCCGTATGTCAACCATTGTAAGTTGTAGGTTGACCACTTGGGCTATGACAGTCAGTACTAATACAATCTTCAAAGTCGACCATTTGAGGGTTTGCCATCCAATGATTCCCGAATGGCTCGTTTGTTCCGATAACACCGTGTGAGCGCGACTGCAGTGTGTGAACTTCTGACCGCAAAATCAGTGAAATTAACCTTTGATGATACAGCGTGTTCTCTGTGTGTATATGTGTGTATGTTTGTCCCGAACGTCAACGTTTTCGCTCACGCGCCTGTGAAGGAGTGTGGGCCGGATCCTTGATGCAACGTGGCTCCCATCCACATGCCTCCCGGTCTTATTCCTTCGTGTTTACACTGGATATGGGGTGTATGGATGGAGCTGTGGGTGGTGCAGCGCAAGCCATCCATGGTTCCTCTGTAGGCGCGGGCGTCCTGTGACTGGCCACAGTGACAGGCAAATCCGGAACCGGATGCCGCCAATCATTACATAGGTCAGTATGTGTCCCCACGGATCCGCGTTCACGAAATGACTTAGAATGATTTGTGTGCAACCTGCCTCATCTGTCCACAGTCATTTCTTCGTCTACCGCTAAGGACACGTGTCCACTCCTCGCACAGGCCACAATCAGGGATTTGAGTGACTGTCAAACCTACGATTATTCACCAGGTCCAAGCACCAGTTCATTAGCGCTTTGAATTGTGCGAGATTGTCTTTTACGCCCAGATTAGTTGTCGAGCGTTTATCCAGCTCTATCTGGTGTCGGCCTGTCGGTGAAACCAATTGAGGTTAGTTATTGTCTGTTATTAGTATTACGTACATAGAACCTTAGACTTTAGATCCGCTCTATGCTATGAACAATTTAGGATCAATCATTACCGGTACTGCAACATTAAAGCCCAAAGAAAGACTTCAGAAAGATTAGTCTGCTACATCGTCTGAAAAACCAAATGAAGACGGCAGAGCATTTTTGGTGTTAACAAGAAAACGGTTAGCAACATTCAAAGACAAACACAAGTGTTTGGAGCGATACGATAAACAAAGAGTAGATCTACAGCGCAATCGGCGAAAAACCATATGATTAAGTCAGTGAGGCTACGCTGCGCTGGTTTAAGCAAATATGGGCAACTAACGCACGAATTTCCTTGCGGATGATTCAAGAAATTGCTAAAAGTTGCTCGCAAGAATTTGTGATTACAGATTTCCAGACATTCAATGGTTGGTTAGAGAAATTTAAATTCCGGCATGAAATTTCTCAGAGTTTTTTATGTGGTGAATCCAATGAAGTACCTAAAGAGTTTGTGCAAGACTTCACTGAAAATTTTCGAAGTTCAGCAAGGACTTCAACAATGACGGCATTTTAGCGTTGAGGAGTGCGGCCTCCTTTTCAAGGCGATGCCTAACAGAAGCCATGTTATAAAGCGTGACAAATTTAATTCCAAAGAATATTTCACAGTTCTCTTGTACACTAGCTCAAGTGGGGAGAGGCTAAAGACCCTGGTCATTGGTAAACCAGCTAGATTATGTGCGTTCAGAGACCTAAATCCCGAAACCTTCCAATCACCTAGAGATCAAACCGATGTTTGTGGATGACTGCTGCCATATTTGAGGAAGTATCAGAAGTATCGAGGAAGAAATGGTGAAGAAAACTCGTTACATTATCCACACATTGGACAAATGTTTTAGTCGCACCCATGTAAAAAAACCTCACAAATATTACACTTAATTTTCTGCCTAAAAGCATGACCTCACAAATTTAACCTCTGGACCAAGGGATCATCCAAATATTCAAAATGCACTACCGAGTCCAGCTCATACAATGGGCTGTGGCGAAATTGCATACTAATGCTTCTCATGCGGAGGGAAGTTTGTCTGTCGCTTCAGTTAATGCCCTGGATGCCATGCTTTGGGTAAGTTGCGCTTGGTTCAAAGTTCAACCAGAAATAATACAGAAATGTTTCAAAAACCCGGATTTGTTTACTCTCCCGAACTGGATATAGTCGCTATCTTCATTGGTACAATTCAACGGAATAGAATCTAAAAAGTTGCTCGAAATGGATGATGAGTTGGTAATTTGCACTGAACAAAGCCCAGCTGCTAATTTCCAATAGATACTGACTGCGGTACTCTCCTACCGATGATGTTGTTGAAGTAGAAGGATTGAGTTACGGTGATTTGGAAATCACAGAAACTGCAGAAGAAGATGTAGTCAGATATCTCCTAATGCAACTGAAATCATTTGCTGTGAAAATATGCAAGCATGTTGAGCAGTGTAACTTGTGCTGAGCGTGCTTTTTCAATTACCTTTGTGATAACAGAAAGGAACATGCTTACTGACTTTTTCTTCAACAAAATATTTAACTGGCGAAATGCACAGTAGGTTTTGATTCAAAATAACGCTGTTTGGTTGAACTGCGTTTGCCATTACGTGAGACCTCATCTAATGTTTTCGTAACGGGCTTATTTGAAAATAAATTTCATATTACATTACTCACAATGGGAAAGTAGGTTATGCCAACTTTTGGCATAGAGCCTCCGTATGTTGACTACCTCTAAGCTGACCACTTTGGCTCAGTCTCTTGGGTGGTCGACTTAATGAGGTTTTACTGTTTCATTTTAACATATCAGTTTTTGGTCGTATTGCAAGGTAAAAATGGGCATCAGCAGTACACCGGCACGCAGTACCGACGCTTCGCTGCCGCACAACCGCCATCACTCGCGCGTAGTCCAAGGCTACTACGAAAGTCGTTGGACCCTACTCAGGCTCGAACCCCCTCCCTAAGATTACCTGACATGCTTTTGATCCTTAAGGCCGCGTGGCGAAGGTCGTACCTCCGCCATTCACAAATATAGATCACTGGTTTCGTCTTTATTGTTGTCCTTTGTGCTCTTGGCACCTATGATTCTCGCAACCTTATCCTACCGCTTGAACAGCAATGAACGGCTTCACCCTGAACTATGAGGAGGCGAGGCCTTTAACTGGATCGTTCTCCTTTTAATAGAGTGTCGTTCTTATTCTATTTGCAGTAAATTTTATCATTTGTCACCAAATATTTAAAATGTTTGGTTAGGCTAATTATCTAATGCTGTTCTTCATCGATTTTTCGAAAGTACGCTTTGGAATACTGCGCTAAGTTACCAGGTCTTTTGTAAATTGTGGAATCTTCGTCCGGATCAACACTATCATCACAGACAGCAGTACATTGGCCATTTGGACTGATGCTTCGCTGCCGCACGACCACGGGGACCTACGGAACTAAGAACAATATTAGGTAGAGAAGGGAGACATTTTGCGGTCGCAACAGCTTCGAGACGTGAAGTGGGTCTGCGGCAAGTTACGCGGAGGACTATTGAAATCAGTTTGTCATCATGACACCGGTTGTTACGCGGCCGACGTTGGCTCGGCCACTAGCTGGTTTGCATCTGACTAGACAAGTGACGTTAGTCAGCCCAGAAACGCACAGTTGGAGGTGATAGCATGTGACCCATAAAACTAACCTTGTTCTCTTCCTAATGCACTTCGGTCTGGCAGTTGACAGTGCAGAGAGCAGAGGCAAGGGCAGCGTTACAAAGGAGACTTGGTGTAAAATCGTAAAACCCTAAACAAACACTCAGTGTCAAGGCGCTTACACCTCGTCAATGCCCCACAATCACAAACAACTGGCTATCGTGCAAAGACAAAGCGGTATCGGCGAGAAAGCTTCCTTGCGACTTCCACTGCCCCGCCTCATAATCTGCCATAACTCCACAGATAAGTCAGCACCATACACACGTTAAACAGGCATTCCGACTACGAGACAACCGACACTCCCCTGGTGCCCATGTTCTGTAACGCCTCGAGCTAAACACGGGGCGCGTTGCGTGAACTCCATACCTGCAATGCGAGACGGATCGCTGGCACCGAATTTGGACGTCAGTTACTTCATTTCCCGCTGTTAACTGAACTTTTGCTCTACTCTACATCTGGTAACCAAAAAAGCCATTATCGGTAAGCGGTGATCAGCCATGCGTGCCCAAGCCAACGCAACTTATTCAGTGTTATCCTGGTCGATAAACTGCGCTTCGTCATTTTACCGTCAACTGGATCAGACTCATGGCCGTTTAGTCGCCTGAGCTCTCAATGCCATTTTTCCCTTTACACAATTTTTCATTCGTAATGGTGCTGTTTTAGAATATCTGCATTGGGTATTGTAAAATGCTGAAAATGAATCCATGCGGGCACATGAAGCTTACCTTGGATTGACTTAAAATGTTTCCAACATACGCGTGTGCCACATTGCCTTGGCTTTGTCATCACGTTTATTGCACTGCCGGGTGGAAGCGTCCTTGTCTTCTATGTGTGTATCTTATTTTTCGCCGTTCAAATTGGCTTTGTGTGTATAAATGGTGAAACCGCCATTACAAGCGCCCCGTCCCTATGACAGTTGACTCCTGAATTCGTTGTCTGCTCTGACCTCTTGTTTAGGTCAGAACTTGAATTCTCCTGCTTAGCTCAGATGAGTTCTCACCAAACATGTTTGCTTTCCTTCTTCCTAGCATCGGATGGCCACTACAATCTGTCATTGGCATCATATTCGTCGCTTGGATTCTGAGTTGCAACGTGCCATGTCCTTCCCTTAAGGTGAGCTACTTTTTCATCTCCTCATTTGATGTAGAGCTGTGTATTTTGATTCTCAGACTCTAACTATTTCTCACTTGTATGGATCTGGATCATACAGCTGTTAGATTCGCGTTATAGGCTTTGCTTGATACCAGGGTGCTTGAATTTAGTGATCTGTGCATCAATGTGATCCAATATCTCACTTTTGCCCCCCTATCGAGTATGCTTCACTCTGTTTTTCTTTCCGTGTGTCTCAGTTCTTTGGTTCCCTCCTGTCTCATTTGGTTGTTCTTTTTACTCTTTCTACACTCTCCTTCGTCCCATACACTAACACACTCTTGCTTGTTGAATCTCCACACTAAAGTCGAAAATCTCGGGACCCCTGCTGGGTCACTTGCAGAGAACTGGATCAGGTCACCAGCATCACGTTCTTTTACCGTTTTCAATTATGCAGCTTTAATAAATGGTTTTATTTCCACTACCTCACTTCATCGCCCCCCCCCGAATTAGTATTGATCCGAATGGACTTGGTGTTCTTGCGGTGCTATATTCCTCCCGTTTACGTCCCCATAAATCTTATTCTCAGTTGACCTGTCAGAGCACTCTTCTGTTTGTCGATGACACTTGAAAGCCCGTTCCATCTGTTTCTGACATTCGTCCCGATGGGTTCTTATTGTGCGGACATTTTTTATTGCTGATCGGTTCCTCCCATCGTGTTCCGATCTCACCACAACCAATGCGTCCATCGAGCTTTGTTGAATTATTAGACTTATCAACACTTGTTCCACATTTCTGAAAGTCGGTCAGCGCGTTGGCAACCATTGTGCTGTTTAATCATCAAAATGATCGGGAGTCATCCGGGTGGCAACATTTTCCGTATTGCTCTATCTTGTTACTACGCGATCAGTTTCTTCCTTATTTTGAATCTTTTGACATATGTAACTGAACTTGAGATTTGAACTCTGGCCACCGTTTCCGGGTGGCTCGTTCTCCACTGTTGTTGGGCTCTGCAGTCACTGTTTACTCAACCGTTAGGTCGGCCGGCGGTCGAACAGACTAGGCGTCTGCTTTGTAATCCGAAGGTCACCGGTTTGCACCTACGTATGTGCGGGAGTTTTTACAGTATCCCTAGCCCGCGCGCAACTGGACGTGGTCATTTGGCAGCAAAGCGTAGTGCAGCTCACCCACCTATTGCCGATGCGTTAGCCTCAACCTGTAAGTATTGCCCTATGGGATTTTTGCGGTAGCTGTTACGCGTTTGGGTTGTGTCGCTGATCCACGCGGTTGGTGCTCCGTGTGGTTTTATCCTAGTCTGCACGACCTGAACGTGGTGAACCGTCTCAACGAGACTGGACCTTAACGTAGTCTTGCGGCTTGCGTAACTCGTCGGCCCATTGCGCTGTACTGGTTGGTACCCCCGGGCCCCTACCTACCGGGCTGGACAATGGCTAGAAGTCAAATAAACCCAGTCTCTTGGTCCTCCAGGTTGGGGGTCAGAAATTGGAGGGCGTCCATTTCTGTAATGCTATATCATTGCCACCTCCCCGCTGCCTTGCGGACAGGCTTTTGAGCCAATGACTTTGTTTGAAGACTCTAATCGTCCTCCTGTCTAGGTCTGCGTGCCCTCTCAATATCTCAGCTTACGTACAACCTTGACAATTTCACCAAATTCTAACTACATCCTGCATCGGCCGTCGCAGGTCGTCTTATCTGCTGCATACAACAGGGCGGATAAGCGGAAACATGCTACTGCTGTCGTCTCCTTTCTTCCTTTTCTACTTGTTTCTGTTACTCCCCTCCCAACCCACATTACTAACCTTCCTTCTATAGTTTCCAGCTTAGTTGACAGCAGCCTCAATGCTACTGCAGTCGAACCATACGCAGCTACCTGCCCGCACTACCCACCGGACACCAGTCGCCAACTGCTCCTTATAAGACCACACTGTCCCGTTTCCCTGGCGGGGTTCTACGTTCGCACTCTACGACAAATAGGTCAACAGGCAGCACTCACACGCACGTTGCACAATTTGGGTATTGACGTGTGTTGTGTGCCCGGAATTAGGATCAATAACCCTAATGGGGTTGTTGACTTAACTGCACCCGTTTTGTCCTTTCACTCTTGTTTACATGCTTCCGGAGACGCTGATGCAGCAGTAACTGGTCAAGCTGGTGTGAGCATTGTTCTCAGCTCCAAGGCTGAATTATCGTTGGTTGATTGGGTTCTCGCGAACAGCAGTTTGCAGACATCGACTATGCCTGTTTCTCGTAGTAGCACCAGACGCTGTTTGTTTGTAGTTTTCGTTTATTGCCCCACCGATTGCAGCTGGGATTCTGCGAAGGACGCTTTCTACCACGAACTAAACACGCTGCTGCGCAATGTTCTCGTAGTTCTTGCAGGTGGCGTGGTTCCATCTCGGATTGTCGCTCGTTCTGGAACACTAGCCTTAATTCTGATCATTCCTAGGTACGCTGTCGTTTCTCTATGAACTTTACCGGGAGGCGCACCAAGCGTGTCCCTCGATTGGGGGCTGAGTGGTAATCTCAGTCTCTGGTCAGACAAGCCTACCGAAATGTCCTGCTTACTGAACACTTACGCTGTCGCTTCCTAGTCACCTTAGGCTTCAGTCGCCATACACGACGCGTGAGCTTCTGCTTGCTACTATCAGTCATCGCTGCACCAGTCACTGGATATCCGAGAGATCGGTGAACCTGTTGGAATCCAGAAAAAATCTCCCGGGTGGCTCTGAGCAAAAGGTAGCTAGGTGGACTATTGGGCGCGAACTAAAGCAGAGCCTGCGTGCTGACAAGAAAGCCTGGTGGACTAGTCGGGCCAAATAAATGAAGGACACAGGAACAGAAGGTAATCATCACGGGCTGTTCCGAATGATCCATACCCCTTCCCAGACAACCAGGCGTAAGTGAGACAATCAGAGACAGCGTAAATGCCATGATTCACAATAAGTAACGCCGTATGGCTCGTTGGGCGGAGCATTTTCGGTACCAGTTCAATTTTCCTTTGCTTCTACACCTCTTCCTACTCAGCTTATGTAGGCTGAGCCATGGCCCGTTAGTCTAGTGACTCCCTCGGAGACTCAGGTCCGAAACACGATCTCAGCCATTAATGGCTTCCGATCTGCTGGCTTGTATTCCCTCACACCCGTACTACTTAAGAATGGCGGTGAGATCTTCTGCAAAGCAATGCCCTCATTGTTCGGCCAACTCTGGAGAAAAGTGATCATCCCGGCTAATTGGAGTAAATCGATTATAGTGGCGATATACAATAATGGCAATCGCGCGGACTTCGCTGACCACAGGGGTATTAGCCTTCCACCGGTTGTGACGAAATTATTACCCTCAATTCTTTTTCGTCGCCTCATTGTGGAACAAGAATCCTGAATTAGGGAAGTACAGGAAGGTTTCCGCCCAGGGCGTGACTGTGTGGACCATATATTCACTCTGCGACTGTTGCTAGAACAGTGCCACGCATACTGCTGGCTGGCAATAGCTCTGTTCCTGGACCTCAAAAGTTCGCTCAACTCAGTAGACCGGTCAGTTGGTTTGAAATGCGCGAAAATGTGTTCCCTTGAAATATGTGAGCATTTTCGTGCTCTGTACTCAAACACGACAGGCCGCGTTCAGGTCTACGGTGACTTTTCGGGTGTCTTCCCAACAACAAGTGTCGTTCGTCATCATTGTGCAATTTCCCCATTTTTCTCCAACTTCGTCGTGGACTCCATCTTGGAATTTCACGTTGAAGGCGCGGAAATGCTGCCTTCTGGAAAGCTAGTTGATCTTGATTATGTGGACGATATTCTTGCTGTTTACCTTGTTAGCGTTATCCAGCCAGCGCTTTGCATCTTCAAAGTGTTGTTGCATTACAACCAGCCGCATGATTCCCCATTAATAGCCATGAATTCGAGTTAGTTGATCACATCATCTACCTTGGCAACTGCATCAGCAACGATGGGCACATAGTAACTGAATTCACTTCATGTATTACAAAAACTAGTACTACCATGAATCCGCAACATCTGAGACGTCAGCAAGCGGTTTCCCTTTTTCTGGAGGGTCGTGTTTACAAGGCCACAGTGAGGGCTGTCCTACTCTATGTTAGTTAGACTTGGCCCCTTCGGTCTGATGATCTGAGGCGCCTTCAAGTCTTTGATTTTCGCTGCCTGCGCAACATCATTGGTATGGGATAACACTAGCGTGTTCCCAACGATGATGTGCGTAGTCGAGTACTGGGCTGTGATACCCATGCAATTCCTTAGAGTAACAGATAGCACTGCATGGGTTGTGTTGTTTTGGGCACATGTTAGGTATGCCTCGTCACCCTTTACCGAGGTGGGTCTAGTTTTGTTTTTCAGACGTGGGGTGGCGTAAGACTCGAGCTGGGCACTATTTAACCCAGTAAAAAGGATTGTATTTACTAACTGCTAAACTTGGTGCTGTATATACGTTTCGGCTTCCAGACTGTAGTCCACATGACCCATCTTATGCCTCTTTCGAGATATTACGGGACATAACTGGCATTTGGCACCAGTGACGCGTCTGCTGTTATCTCGTAGTTGGACTGCCTGTTTAAAGTGTATTTGGTGCTGAATTCTCTGCGAGGTAATGGCTGATAATGACGCGGGACAGTAAAAGTTCTAAGGAGACTGTCTCGCCGATGCGCCTTATCTTTGCACGATAGTCATTTGTTTGTGATGGTGTGTTGTTGACATGATGTCGCTTTGACGGTGAACGTTTGCTTAGGGTGCTAAGGTTTTATGCTGAGTCCTGGTCCTCTCCCTGTTATTACCCTTCTTTTCTTAGCTCATTGTGGTTGTACAGTAGCGAAGCATCAATCCAAATGGCTGATATACTGCTGATGATCTGTCGCTAGTTCTTTGTTTGGATCCGGGCCTTCGCCTAGGCCAGGCCCCTTTATCTCTTTTGTAACACTTCGTAGAATATTCCGAACCTAAAAACGTCTGACAACTTCTACCATCATTTTGTTTTGGCTGGGATATTACACCGTTTCCACTTTGGAGTTTGTATTCCCATCCTTGTAATTGTCCTATTCGTCAACTTTGTGTTTCTAATTTTTATTTGAATAGTCGTCTGCTCTCCAACTCATTCTGTTGACCCAGTGACTATCTAGATTTTTCTCCGGATGTTTAAACAGCACTCAACCTCACACTCCATGTGCTGTGGACCTCTGTTACACTCGCGTCTAACCGTCCCCTTTTGCTGTGTGTTACGCTTATTAGCCCATATCATTACAAATATTAGTCTAATAGCAGCTTCTCTTCTTTTTTTCAGCTCATCACCTCTATTTTCGCCCTGTTCGTGCTGTACGATGTGTTTTTCGTTTTTATCACTCCCTACTTCACATCAGTAAGTTCCACTAGGGTGTTGACCTCACGCATGTCGCGTTCCCGTTTTATTTCTCTTCATTATTGATCATTTCGACCATTCTCTGGCATTCTGACTAACACCACTTCTGCTCTGAATATATGTGAGACATCAACCAGTTGTTGCTATAATGTGGCCATAGTCCGCGTAATGTTGCCTTAACGCATCCCACTTGTTTATGCTCTGGAACCTGTACCCTTCACTTCTGTACCGTGCTCATGGTGCTCCGTGCCTACAGGTTCTTCTGTATCCTGGCGTATTTGTCGTTTTTCGGCTTTCCTTCGGTTCATCTATTCCGTTGCCATCTAATCTGTATGACAAGACCCATCCATCCGATAGGATGTCACTTGTGTCCTGTGTCTGATATTTCGCCTATCGGCTTTGTCATCTGTCCGGTATAGCAAGATTGTTAACCATCTAGTTGAGGCTTAAAGACATAGTCCTGGTCCCACATGTTTCACTCCCCTTACTGATTCGTGACCCCATTCGAACCATCCATTAAACGCACTATATCACCAAACTGGACCGATGTCGCGAGCAGATTTACCTCTCGAGCCAGTGGACAACTGAGCCAGAAAAAACACCTATCGCACTTGCTCCTAATTTCTACTCACAAATTGTGACAAATGCAGGAAATGCATCACTGTAACTCCCAAGAGCAATAGCTCAAGTTTCCATACTTGCTGAGCATCTCCAGTCATAAGATTCTGTGGGATAGATTTGAACATCAAACAGAATCCGGCCCCAAACATCGCTTGGCGAAGCGGGGTCTGTATCTGAAATAATCCTTTAGACTGGTTTGATCCTTTAAGTGGTTAGTCAGTTTGACATGTCCTCGTCCTTTGTTTCTTGTACCTTTTTTGTCACGTACCTTAAGCCTACTCGTTTTTGTTTTCTGCATGAGATATCTTATTGTACTGCATTACTGCACGACGTGTTTGTAGTTGTTTTAAAACTGCCAACATCCTAATTTAATGTTTTGAGTCTGTTCTGCTTTCACAACTGACCACTCATCGTCGTCCTCCTCCTCACTCGCTGTCCTCTTGGTTTACTCCCTTGTTTACACTTTCTGTCACTGTTTTTGGAGAAGGGTTGGCTCACCAATTCCGCAGCGCGACATTTCACTTTGTTCCTCTAGATTTGAGAGTTGACTTTTGTCTGGTTACTTTTCACGTACCACTGCGTCTACTAAAGATATTGGTTGTTTCAGTTTATGCTTATCCGGGAAATCTCTCCAATCTATATGACCGTTTCCTTCGCTCTCTCGAGATTTCCCATCATTTATGTTAGCTTTGGTGCATTATCCGATTATTATCCTCTGTTTTGTTCCCTTTTAATCCTTCTTAGCACCACAGTCGAACGGTGGAACCCAGTTCTGTCGCTGCACAAGGGTCACTCCGCCTTCCTCGTTCTACTGATCTCCAAGAGAGCTACATGGAAGCTATCGCCACAGGATCGGCTGGCAAAAGTGGTGAGAATTTACCCGCCAGTTTCCGATTCCGTGTTCTCCTTCCTTCTGGCGTATTCGGATGTTCCACCCACGAGTATGGAATGCTTTTAGGATATGGGGATGCCGTATTTCCAGGTACTTTTGCACACTTGGAGTCACTTATCTCCGTTTTTGGTTTCCAACCATTACGCACACCTGCTGCTACTAAAGCCGCTACAGTGAACACCCAGATTACCAAAAAACTTCCACTTTTAACCAGCATTTTCCTCGTTGTCCTCTTAGTGCCATCGCGCATCCTTGCATTGATTTGCTTGACCGATCCGTCGGTTGCATTTCTTCTTTTTGCTATCCACTTATCAGCTAAACTAGTTTCACCATCACTGACTGCCCATACATCGAAGTTCGCGATTCCCTTTTGCCGATGCTATCCTCCGTTTCGAAGCTTATGCGATGTCAGTGATCTCTATACCTTCTGAACTTTCATCATTTCCGCTTCCCGTCATATCAGCCACAAGTTGTTTACTGATCTCATACTGCTCTCTAGGAGTTGTTAACTTTTTTTAAAAACCGTTTTGGCCTTTGAGCTATTGGACTAGGCCCGTTATTGAACTTATCAGCCACCTCAATATTTGTGTTGCGGTTATTCTGTTCGTAGGAATCTTTGAAGGGACCCTTTGCGTATTGTTCAGTTTCCTTGCTCCTTGTGAGAAACTAAGGATCAACAAAGCGCTGGCTTTTGATGTTACTGTAGACATTCTCCGTGATATCCCCGCAGCTGTTACAGACTAATTCGCCTTTCCTCAGCCGTCTCTCTTCCGATTGGACCAGGTCTGCCAACATCGTTGCTGCCACAAGTTGCACGATCACATGAATCCCTTTATTACCACTGATTACCTCCTACTGTGTGGTTTCGGCCTAGATACCACTGGTACTGATGACAACGATCTGTTGTTTTAACCATGCGCCTATCACAATTCAAATATCCTTAACTCATCTTTCCTGCTCGGATCGTACTGATCGTCTCGTTCGCCTACCTTGCACTTGTGAACGAACCCATGAGTGGGTTTTCCACATACCTTACACTATTGCCCGGGGACAATTGTATAGTGCTCCGGCACTTGAACGAATTTCCACCGGCATACTCTCCTGTAACATGCGGTCGGTTGAATCAGAGGCATTCAACTCGAAGAAGACTACTATGACAGGTTGCCGGTATGTGACGCCAGTTACATGCCTGTCGAAGTTTGATCATTTGCTCAGTTCATCCTTTGCCATGCTAAAAGCCGACTTCACTTTCACTAGTTGCACTCCATCGAAGACCAGAAAGCTACCGAATTTTAGCGCTAATGAATCACTTGAAGGTCATGTAGAGGAAGCGTATAATTCTAAAATGTTTGGAAACGGTCGGTTGACTTATTTGTTGGGCAAAGTTTCCTTTTTGCCCAGAAGCTTCTTCAGGCCAGGTAAATCAACAAAATGTCATTTTAAGGCAAAAACAACATCTTGTCCAAAGAGGATGGCACTCATTTGTTCCCAAACCTCTCTGAACTCATGATTGCTCAATCGGTTCTAAGTGTCTTCCACACAACTCAATGCTTTTCAGATGCTTCCCATTGCTCCCGTTCACTGGTTGTGCTGACTGAGGGTAGCAGCTTTACGAATGGCCTTTGCTTCTTAAACTAGAGGGTGGGTTTGAAGAATTTCGTGTGTATGTGGAACAACCGTGTTCTAGGTAACAAATGGCATCAACACTGCGCCGTAAGTTTCGCACCATCGCCTCGTTATCACGCAAACACCAATAATGCTTCCATCACCGGAACTCTGCACTTCCAATGCTGTCCCGGTGACCGCAATGGACCACCTTTACTTCGTAGCAACCCTTAGTCTCAATCGAGATTGCGTGTCGCAATCCAGAACCCGACAATATACCTGAGTATTGCTTTTGAATGTTGCTCGTGATTTCTATCTCAACATTCTCAAGCCATAAACATTTGTAGCTAATTTTATGCTCGTTCACCTCCGCTAGTTACTTACTGATTTTTTTATTGTTCCTCCTTTCCTGCCTTCGTGATAGGGCTTTTGTCTGCTTATTTGGCTCTGTTCGACTCCGTGTGGCATATTCGGTTTCGGAGGAATTACTTGGCCTCTCTCTTCGGTACAGTCTCTACTGATTCTTAATTGTATCACATATCGATGGAAAAATCATTTACCAGGTCGTTGCTGCTTGATCTACTCCTTTTTTCCTTAATTATTGCAGTTATTTCTTGTTTGCTACTTAATTAGCTCGGATCTGATGCTACCACTAATGGGCATTTTATTCCCTATCGTTGTTGCTAACCACACTGAACATTAATATTGTGCGATAGTTTACATGCCTCTTTGCTCCAATCAGTTACACTGAGTGATACTTTGCAACTTCCATTTGCGCCGCTCATATCAGCTAAGTCATTGACTAGGAACCGAGCTTACTCAATCTCGGCATTTTCCCCATGGGGTGCTGTCTATAATTGCTCAATTGGGTGGGTTCAAACTATACGAGTTCTAAGCTTTCTCCATCTGTCGTAGTGCCAGAGCGCTACGGATTCCTTTTTGACCGTAGAGCGGTGCATATGTTTTACTTTCCTTCTTGATGTTGTCTTCTTAGATAAGGATATCACACACGCAATCTCTGGACTTACCGCCGACTGACCGCATTTTCATGGTAATCACTTGCACGAACGTCCAAAGTTGTGGGTTATCGGCCTCGACTAAATTCAAGCGGAACCCTGCAGTTGCACTCTTTGACCAAACCTATTCATACCGTTCTGTGATTCAGACTAACTGATCAAAACCAAATGTAGATATCCTCGAGCTAGTTCAGTCTCCCGTTAAACAAGTAGGGAATGTAATATACACTCACATTCCTGGTTTCCAGTTTCTTTCCTGTTTTCGCCATTTACTGGTCTACTTTCTTTATGCCAGCTACTGTTGGAGCATGTCTGACGTCGTCCACCACGCTAGCAATGCTGTTGGTCTGTCTTTCCTATATGAGGCACCACGTCATACCGGTTTTTTGGGCTCCCCTCCCCCTCACACATATCAACTGGTGCCATTCGATTTACCTTTACACTCCGTCCCACATGACTTGTGCTGTATCTTCGAAGCACATACTCATAATGTATATATGGTTGCCGAGCTCGGGTGCGACTATCGGACCACACCCATCACGTTTTCAATAATGTCGATGCAATCACTTGTGCTATTTACACCCTAGGATATGCTGCCAACAACATGAGAAGGATTGTCTCCTCGGATTGACCCCAGGTCAATACAGTTCCTTGGTTCCATTGGAGTTATTAAGATCCAACCAAATTTGAGGTGTGCGGTTTCCGACCACTTTCCCACCAACCAAACTGATAGTGAAATCGTCTGTATAAATTTAACTGCTACCTGATACTTAAGGCGAAGAATATTTTCCATGAATTATTTGAGGTTAACATTGCACTCACATGCACACATGTGACAGCCTTGTGCTATTCACCACCGTCGAAGCTCAGTAGTAAGTGTCCAGTTGAGGATCCCGAAGTTTTTCATGTCCAACGCCTCGTGGGTCGTAACCGATTGCGGAGTTGATATGCGAAAACGGTACTTCGTAGAAGGTTGGATAGTTTCATCGCAACTAAGTTGTAAGACACGAACATAGATACGTCTAACATCTTGTGGTTACCTGGATGCCGTTACCACAGCTGCTTAGGTGGACCGAGCCTGTAGCGAATAGACTGCATGAACACGTGTGGGAGTTGGCTGCTCCAGCAATACGAAAAACTAAGTGGAAAATTAAAGAGAAGATGAGATAACAGTAGCTTTGAGGACAGGCCTCGATGGCTTCTTACCTGTTGGCTTACTATAGACCTGCTAGAGACTGAACGATGAGCGATCTTCACGACTCTGGATAAAAAGAGCCGACCTTCTTATCCAAATTTATTTGGGTGTTCCATTACAATGTACATGCGAACTATACTAAACAGAATCCAAAAAAGTCATTAAGAAGAAATAGCGGATGATTTCAATGCGAATAAGCATCTCACAGGAAGCAAAACTCTGTCTTCCCCACAAGCTGAGAATAGCCGAACGTATTTGTCCTATGCAGCACTGCGGCTCTTAATATCCACATGACAGACAGGTGCGTGAAAGCCTATCATTCAAACAGTTAGATTAAAAGCATCTGAAGTCAGTAATTTCTCACAACTATTTATGTTCGACAGGCATATCGGTCATAGTCTTATCCGTTGCCTCAGTGATGAAATCTACAAAGAGGTCACTAAAACTGTTTACTGCGGTGACAGCAAGGAATGATCGTTCAATGTGCCACTGGCTCTTCCTCCTAGCATATGCTGTGTACCACGAATAGTCTCTTGAGAGAAGGAGCCTCCCTTTTGCGATACTTTGGGTTGCAAAGCCTACTAAATCATGGTCCTTGTCAGTGTATATTGTTGAGTGTGTGAACGACTTTCCGCATTCCTAGAGGAATGGCGCACCCCACAGGCAAAAGTCAGCGAATATCGGTCGCACAACGAAAAGGAGCCATGTGCACCGGATTAACAGTTACCCATTCTGGCGCAGCCTGAAACGGAGAGGCTGGAAACAAGGCATCATAGATGAATTTCTAGTGTGGCAACATGTTTGGCAACTGGGGATCTAGGAAGGTGGAAGGTGGGCGTGCAGAGACATAAAGCGCTTCAATAGTCGAACGTTTCAGCTTCACATGCCGGATTTGTGCAGTTAGACGATGTGTCTGTAAATGCTTTCGGACGACCCTTTGGTGATGATGAACTGGGGCAATCAAGTTGGCCTACAAGGATAGGCAAGTGGTAGGTTGCCACGCAGAAACATGACTAGTGCATTGGGGTAGCAAGGAGTGCCGTACGCGACACTGGTTGATTGTTGGTTTGGTCTCGCTACGGTTGCATGTTACTGACAGGGGACATCCTCGTACGCTCTGATGCTTCATGTTCCATTTTTACCACACAGACAGACTACAAACAGGAGCAAAAATGATGCGCTACTTGTACGCAGTTGGATTACATGTCTGCATCTATTAAAACGTTCCGTTCAGTTAAACACTTATTATCCGGGTGCCGAAGTGCAGTGAATACAGTTGTCACGATCCGCATCACAGCATAATAACGGCAAGAAGGTAAGGTTGAACACCAAGAGAAGACGAAGGTAAGGAAGTTAAGAAATGCGTAAAGGTAATCGGGATTTAATATTGACTACTAGGTTCAAGAACTTGACCGCAGCTGCACCACTAGCTGCACCATGTCAAACTAATTCCCCAACCACAGATTTGACAATGCCGGCGCTTCTATCCGCGAACACAGCACCCATTAGCATGACTAAGTCTCTCAGACAATTTCATCCTACCATTATGACACCTCATCAACTGGACACCTTGTGCTTTTGCCCAACTTGACGCAGCCACGGCAAATAATGAAGGCCTAAAAGGTTTTCAACGGACGTACGGAGTACATGAACGAGCTAGCATAAAAGAATAAACTTTAACAGACGTTTAATTGCGTCCACAAATGCTTTTATTGCCAACTATCAGCTGGCAGACCTCCGCATCCCTTACTCGCGATTTCAACCAAATGCGAGCAATATTCCACAGTCACGGGCAATACAAACTACCAACCATTGACTGTTTTCAGTGAAAACTGGCCAGATATCTGCTCCATACACTAACACCAGTTATACATCCTACCGTCTCCATAGATGGGTTTTGCTGATACCTCACAGTCTGTGTGT